GCAGCAGCATGTGGGTTTCCATTTTATAAATGATTGTTCCTTATAAAATGAAGTCACGGATCCCAGAGACCTCCACAAGGGGGATGGTTTTGGCATTTTGAAAGTCGAACGATGCTCGTCGTGCTCGTGACAATTCCACCTTCCGCCGGCCGGCCGAAGTTTCACCCGGCTCGGACAATGCCAATCGGCTGTAAAGCTGACCATGCAACATGGCAAGGCCACTAGCGATGGCCTCCACCTACTGGCAAGGCCTCCAACCAACTATATAGTGATGGCCTCCAACCCGAACTTTGGCCAATCTTCCGAACTTTTGGTCGATCTGCCGAACTTTTGCCGATCTGCCGAACTTTTGGCCGATCTGCCGAACTTCGGGCCGATTTGCCGAACTTTTCTTGGCCGATGTTCCGTAACTTTTGGCCGATCCGCCGAACTGAGACGCACTGGCCAGCCTTGTGAAATTGTCCGTAACTTCACACGAGTCTGGACCAACCACTGGATTGTAGGAAGGACTATCCACCAGCCCTCGAGCCCACATCATCACGTTCTCATTTGCCTGGATATCCCTTTGCCAGCCAGGAGGCAGAAGCTCTTCATGATAGGTGCATTCCCAAATCAAGTGCTTCATGCTGACTGGCACATGGCATAAAGGGCACATCGCCCGCTCACCAGCTGCGTGTGTTCTCAAGGACCCTTGTGTCCAGGCGGCAACGGCTGCTCTTTCAGCCCTTTTGAAAGTCTTGGTCACCTTGTGATATGTGGTCCAATCAGGCCTCCGCATCAACGGAAAACAATATTCCAGCTCTTGAATTCTCCTGGCCCGTTGGTATTGAAGTTCAAGTTGGAGCTGACGCTGCAGGTAGGGCCAGGGAAACTCCAGGTTCAACTGATTGGGAGGCAGCAGACCAGTTGGTTCTCGAACCCAATCATCCAATGCAGCTGCATCCCGGCGTGTTGCTGGTGAGCGGGATGATTGGCGGTATCGTGCGATAGGATTGCTTCTAGTGTGTGGGCAGACCGTGTGGCGAATTACGCCCGTGATGTCGCATTGCCATGCGGATTTGCGCGGCCTTGGTGGGAACTGCGTTTGCGTTGCGCCGTGCCACTGGGGAGCGCGAAACACGCTGGTGTAAACGCGGCGTGTCGCTGGTGTGCTGTATATCAGTTTGATTCGATCCTCTTCAGCGTTGTGCTTCCACAGCGAGAAATGCACCAAGGTTGGCGCGCTTGCGCATCAACACTGTCACTCCTTCACATCCACCTTCTCTTTCTCTCTTTCTACATATCTTTTCTCTTAATACGTTAACTTTAATTTCTTCGCAACTTCTCACTCAATAATAGATGTATAAAGAAGTCATGGCTCTTGGGCAACTCGATTTTAACTATTTCCTTATCACCTTTCTCGCTCTCGGGCCAACCGTCGTCTAGTTACATTTTTCCCCAGGTAGCGTGAGCTAATTATTGAAATTGGGGTTCTTGCTAGTTCTTACTTCAAGTATTATAGGAAGAGCTGCATGAGTGCGTTTTCGAGCTTGGGTGCTGGCGCCGCTGCTGTGTGCGCTTGGGAGTTTGGGCGCTGGTGCCGCTGCTGTGTGCGCTTGGGGGCTGGGTGCTGCAGGGTGCCGCTGCTGTGTGCGCTTGGGAGCTTGGGCGCTGGAGCCGCTGCTGGGCAGTGTGCCTTTGCAGTGTGCTCCTGGCGCTGCCGCGAAAGTCTTTTTGCTATCTGGCGTCTATGCCGCCGTAGTTTGACGGCTCACGACTTATGCCTAACAGCGGCCGCTGGCTGCGTGAGGGGTAGAGCTGGAGGCTGCCAACGAGGTGTCGAGAGCCTGGCACGCGCTACGACGCTATGAAATTTGCACCTGCAAAAAAGAATTACCCGCTCAACCCCCTGCTGTGACGCTCGGTTTCCACAGCACCGCCCCACCCAGCAACACAGAGAACACAAAAACACAAAATGCATCACCAAGCGCCCTGGACGCTGTGGCTGCAGCGTGAAGAAGCAGGCTGTTTACACTGTTTACACCAAACGCCTTGTTCATTTGATCCGCAAAAAGACATGTGACATGCGTTTTAACAAATTTTTTGGGACCCCCCCCCACGCACGCAGAGCAAAGTGAGTTAAGTCCGACCCTTGAACCTGTTGAAGTGCGCAGGCAACATTGAGGTGGCCGAGGTTTGGGAAGACTGCAAGGCAATCCATGTCAAAAGGTGTGCACGAGAAACAGTGGGTTGGCATGCGGTTCACACTGGCATATCAGGGCCCCGATTTGTTTCGATCAATTGATGGATTGCAGCATGAACTCCGGAGTTTGTCCTCTAGGTGCAGGTGAGACAGCACTCAGGCAACAATTTCCGGCTGCTCCCTGGCACAGTGCAGAGACCCCCAAAGCCCCTTATAGATCTTATTGTGATAGTGACTAGACTAGCATGTTCCGGTAACCTTTGCTTTTGGAAGTTGCCAAGAGGTGGAAGACAGGCAGACAGACAGGTGACAAACCGGCTTTTGGATCCCTATTGGTACGCTGCCGTTTTCTTTGGCGCCTCAGAATCTTCCAGGAAGCGTGGGATGTGGCCCGGATGAGGCCAAAAGTATCACTCTTGTATAGCAAGCTCCTTAATCCAAGCAGTGACATGGAATTGTCATACACATTTGCACCGCGGGTATGCCCTCAGTGGCAGCCTCGAAGCTTTGTCGCAGCCATGGTTCAAGCACTGCTCTGCATGAAAAGGTGAGAATGGATGCTCACGGCCCTGGATGCTCGGCTGCAGAAGTTCAAGGACGAATGTTTTCAACGCGCGTAACCTAGCATTCATTGCCACATGTTCGTTGCAGTTGTCGTCATTGCCAGCCCAATGCTTTGTTGATGATGACGGTGGTGATAAGAAGGTGGAAGGGAGCAGGGGGGCAGGTTTCAACTGAATTATTGCAATAAAATCTTTTTTTTTGTAACCGGCATGGCCACCGCAACCAGCTATACTGCCACCGGCCACCAGCCACGGCAACCAGCCACCACCGTCGCCCTGCTCACTGTTCATCCATGGCGTGTATACTTGACAAGCTGAGCATGAGAGTTTCACCTACCGCTTCTCTCCACGCTTGAGAGTCTCGTAGCTCTTCAAGAATCTTCTGTACCACCTTTGTGGCCAAGTGTTTCGCCCAGGCGGGGCTTACAAGCACACGAGGAGACCCAAAAAAAAGCAGAACATCTCAGCATGCTTGCCGTGGACAGAGGGGCGGCTTGGTGCAGATTCCGTGGCTGCTGGCGGCTGTCTCAACCTGCAGGGCCCAACGCGTTGGAAGTTCATGCCCACACGCCTCTTTTCAAACAGCGCTTGACAGGCTGCAGTCTATTGTGCTTCCTGCACGCGTTTTCAATTGCCACTCCTGAGCCACAAGTGACAGCGCGTAGAACGTCACGAGGGTTGCAATATGTTGTTACTTTGGGAGCCTACTTAGCTCAGGCAACTGACCTTGAGGATGGCGCCGGCTAATTCGGCTCTTTTTCTCAACACCACCCTGAAACCAGAGTTTTTGACTGTCATGTTGCCGCGCGCCCATTGGGCTGCAGGAGTGTGGAGCGAGGCTGTTCATCGGCGTTCTGCGCGCGCAGCAGCCACTGGAGTTGCTTCAATCAAACGCAAGGAGCTGACCGCGGACTTGAAAATTAGTGGCCAGGGTTGTTGAACATACGAAGCGGGAGTACACACATCAGGTCGCTCTTCGTGTCACAAGCGAGCCCTGCCCATGCAAGCTGTGCATCCATGTGCATTCCACAGCGCGCGCCTCCGGGTGCCATCTTTCTTTTGCAGTTGCGCGTTCTGAAGACACCCTCCCCCCAAAACAGCAAAGTGTCCCCAGCTTACAGAATGCAGAACAGTCCCGCTGAGTGAATTTCTGACAGCTGTCAGACGTTGCTGCGTGAAGCACATTGCTGCAGCTGCCTCCTCAGCCACGTGTTTCTCACCTGGACTGACATTTGCCATGGCCAGGACAAGTCTTATAGGGGTGTTGGCTTTAAGCTTGCCTACAAGCACCGTGCGTATTCATGGCCAAACCTGATGGGGGTTGTGGAAATGAGGTTGGTCCACAGCTGCTATGGCTGTGGCAAAGGCTATCCCGGAGGAACAAACTGTCAACTGGCGCTGGTCAATGTTGACTGACGCCTCCCACTTGCCCTCTTCCACCACGCCTTGCTTGGAGCCCATCAGCGCTGCAACTTGCCAAGGCCCCCATGGTGTTCCGTGGCGCAACGCCTGCCCTCAGCAACGGGGCATCGATTCGTCTTTGGAACCAAACAGCTTCCTCCTTGGCACACCGCAAGCGTTCCCGTGTGAGCGAAGAGCATGTTTGTGCAGAGCTGTTCTTTCGGTGTTGCGCCAACTTCCCACAAGTTCAGGCCAGCGGCCAGCCTGGATGTTCTCTGTTGGCGAGGCGTCCAACATGTTTGAACATTCTGCACTGGCCCGCAAATTGAGGCACAGCCTAGCTCACTCCGATACTGTTCACATGTTTGAGATGTGTCTGAACCAGCGCGGGGTGATGTTGGTGCATTTGGCTTTGGCGCGGAGATTTGGCGGCAGAGGAGGATTTCTTTACGAAAGGCTTGGGTTTGGGGAATCAGGGGGCCCTGACTTGGAGCAGCCCTGACTGCCCAGGTGTGCTTTGAAAGATCCTACTAGTGATTCTACTCCATGGAGGCAGGTTCAAGTTGGGCAAACTGCGGTTTGCACCACGTCGTGCAAACCGGCACAAACAAAACAATGACGAAGATCCGACTTACCCCTGGTAAGGCCCACGCGTCGCTGCCACCTCCAACGAGCCTGGCTAAGCGGCTGTCTAGCTTAGTCTAGACCAACAACGCCAGCACAAACCACAGCGCCACTTCAGCGCCTTAACCCGCCGTAATTCGTTGCCGCGTGGTTTTCCTCAATCTGGCACGCGGGCTTGCCACCACGAAATCAACGTGCAAACTGCGTCCCTTCAGCGTGGCCCTGCCCAGGATTATTCGGGACGCTGCAGCCGGAGCTGCTGCTGCCTTCTTCCAACCGCATCAGTGCGGAGGAGTGCTGCGAGCCCACGAGCTTGATCGCCTGGCATGTGTGCCGCGCCTGCAGTGCGCGTGAAGAGCAGCAACGGTTACAGAGCAAGGTCCTCGTAGTTGCCCTCGCCCTGCTTTTTTTCTAGCACGAAGTTGCCAGTGGCCGGCTCCTGGCTTCGACGCTGGAGTCACAGGATCCTCCGGCGCCGTGCGTCTTGCAACGAGAGGCAGGAGCCGCTGATCCAGAGGCTGCCAGTGACGCGCAGCTTTCTGAGATGGCGGGCATGAGAGAGGTGGTGGAATCCTTGGGCTCTTCGTTGGATTCGAAGGCACTGGCCCGCTCATGTATCGCCAGCAAGCTCGAACAGTTGGAACAAGGTTCGCTGCTGTGCTTGAGGTCTGCGTTTGGAAGACAAAGGGCAATGACTTGTTGAATGGCATCATTGGGCATGGCTCTGGGACTTTGAAAATTCGGCAGGTTGAGGGCACGGTGCCTTTGCCGACATGCGGTGAAGAGTTGCAGCATGGCCATCGGCTGACTGGGATGAGCTGGTTAGTTTTGCGGACCATGTCTTCTGACATTTTGGAAGCTTATGGCTTTGTCCTGGGAAGAAGGGCAAATTGCGCCATCTCTGGCTACTTTGCAAATGAGTATGAGATTCGCAAGAAAGCGTATCATCTTGTCCGCGATGGTGTGGGCAGACCGCCAGCTCATGAACTTGCACTTTTTGCTAGTGGTCAACTTGCGTCTTCACCTTTGCAGACCAAAGGGAAGGGTGTGCGCAAGCATGCTTTGAAGCCGAAGACCATGGGTGGCAAGCGGGTTTGTTTCAAGTTCACCAACGGGGGCAAGTGCGCTGACAGTTGTGGCTACGCTCATGTTGCCAGCTTTGCTTGGAGCCCGGCCGCATCAAGTAGTCTTGCCCAGCCAAGAATAAGGTCGTTGAGGAGTGACTAGGAGCTGACGCATGGCTAGCGCTGACGGCTTGCACTTCCATTGCTTTCGACTGCAGCCACAGGTGTGGCAGAGAAGAGCTACGCGTCGCTGAAGCAGATTTTACGCGCCCCCATTGTCCCGAACGGTTTGCTGCTGCGATTGGCTTGCAAAAGTCTTCACAATTCAGTGATAAGGTGCTGGGGTCCTGGGGTGTGCTTTGAAAAGGATTCTTTTGGCGCATCGCGCGGCGCTAGATCTGGATGAAGTGCTTGAGAGGACCCTTTAGGCTTGGCATGGTTGAGGAGTTCTTGCACTTACACGGCGACGGCGATCATGACTTGAGAGCATTTTACAGCTCCAGCAATTCATTTGCCAAGGGTGTCACATTTGGCAGTGTAGATACAAAAGGCAGATGGCACACATACGGTATCGTCGTTGCGCGGGACCAGACCCACTTGCCGACAGCAGGGGGCGTGCGACAAGCTTGTAGGAGTTGGGTCCTTTGGAGTGGCGAGCGCTGCAGTGCATTGGGCTCGGCTCATGAGTTGGGCTGCAACGCGCGCCTCATTATTTGGTTGGCGATATAGTGAGCTTTTCACGCTCACGTATGTGGCTTGGCGGCGCTGGACTGGGAAGATGTGACAGTCACGTTGCTTTTTCTTGTGGCACGTGGTTTACCACACTCATGGGAAAAAATGTGCTCGAGGCACCCAACTTGATTGGGCCGGCTACCACATTGACTTGAAGGGCATCAAGCATGAGGAATGGACCAAGAAGCCATCACCTACAGGCGTCGTGACATTAAGGCTGAAGAAGAGGTGGAGAACTATGTGAAGCCCTATCAAGGCAGAGCAGAGACAATGAGGGAGCTTCAAGAAGCTGCAGGGGAGTTTTGGAGAGCACTTCTCATTGACCCAGGAAAACCAGCGCAGCAGCTCCTGTTTCCACTGGGCCGCAACCTCGACAACCAATGACACCAGAAATTGCACCAGACAGAGGACAAACCTATAGGACAAACCTATGGAGAGATCGGCGGATGCAGTCTTCCAGGGGCTTCCATGGGAGAAGGCCTTAAAAAGAAGACGCCACCTCCTGAGGGCGCAGTTATGTCAGAGCCCGCTCCAAAGAGGAGCAGAACAGAAGAAGGCTCGTCAAGTTCTTTGCGGATTCAGGTGATTCAAGAGCGCTTAGAAAAGATCCAACGTCAAGACATCGAAATGCACCACTTGGATGAAGTCGTCAATGAAGAGAACTTCTATGCTCTTGAAGAGAATTTGCCGGAGGAAGAAGAAGAGGCAGAGATCCCAGATGAGTTGTGGAGCAATGAGTTCAATCCCAGGACAACCACCAACTGAAGTGGATTTACCTGCAGATGAAGTTGAGGAAAAGCGGCTGAAAAGGATGGGAGTGTTGCGAGACCTTCTGGAGGAGGAGCAAGGCTTAGAGATCCTTACGGCCCGCTTTGTCCACGACTGGCGGATCAAAATAAGGAAGTTCAAGAGTGCACACAGAAGTCCCATGATAGGGCTTCCCTTCACCTAGCCTACCCCCTAGGCAGGGAGTCAAGGCGGCTAGGCTACGCTACCACAGGCCCTAGGGCACAGCAATTCCTTAGCCTAGGCCCTAGGACCCCCCCTATCCCAGGGCCTAGGCTGGCCCTAGGACCTCCCCAAAAACATGTTAAAGTGGGGATGCTAGGACGATTTTTGTTCGGCGTTGCCTTATAGGGTTTTATGTTGAAGTCCAACGTATGAACCTCGCCTTTGATGCTTTTCGTGCTGGGGATTGTAAGACATGTTGGGTCAAAACTTTTCATCTATCCTGTTCATTATGTTTTTGTTTCTTCGTTTTCTCACGTTGGGTTTTGTTCTCTTGGGTTGCTGTTATGTTTTTCTCGGGGTTGGGTTTTAGAGGTTGTAGTTACGCTATAGTTTGTAAATGTTTATAGGTTGTAGTTATGTTGTAGCTTTACGCTGTCCACTGACCTATTCCATCCCAATAGTGGTCAACGAACCTCCCTAACGGTAATATTATCATTCTATCGTATTGTTCCTTGTTGTTCCCTTTGTTGTAGTTGAAGCGTATGATTTCATCCAACAAGTTATGACATCTCACCATATCCATCATACCATCAATTTTTGTATAGTTCTTTACCACATTCTTTGACTATATCTTCATCCATAATATGTTCATAAATCTTCTTAACTATCCTATAGTCTTAACTCGTTCCTAAGATTACGAGACCTGTTGATTTGTCCTCTTTAACTGTCTCTAACTGTATATCCATAAATGTTTTTCTGTCTGGAAAGGGGTTGTTTCTGATGAAGGCCATTATTTGTGTTTCCTCTTGTTCAACCACTGTTTGTTCATTATATTCTTCATCTTCTTCTTTATTCAGCTTCTCAATTGCTAAATTACTAAAAGCGCCCATTTTCTCTGAATATATAGGTATTTTTCTTTAAGTCTTTTTGGTGTCTTGATCATTTTTCGGGTTCTGGGTGAAATTCATTTTTCAAAGAACTCTTTAAAAGCTAAATACTATAATAATGGCAGGAAGACTTACAAAAGAAAACACAATAAGCAATGTCTATTACAATCTTGAAGAGGGTTTCGGGAGCATCCAAGATTGAAACATATAGGAAGGCAAAGGCGAAAGACCCGTCCATAACCTTAGACGATGTCAGGAACTTTATGAGGAAGCAACCGAACAAGCAGATTAAAGGTTATAGAGGGTCTAATTCATATACAGCGCCATTCGCGCGGTTTGAATGTCAGATTGATATTATGGTCACGGCGCCACTTTCTAAAGACCCAGAGGTCACCATCAAGGTTTCCAAGTCAGAACCGAAATATGCGTTAGTGGTGGTAGACATCTTTAGCAAGTACGCCGACGTAATACCTATGGAGGAAAACAACAGTAAGACCGTTCTAAGTGCTTTGAAACAAGCGTTCAAGAAGATGGGATATCCTATGAGCATTTAATCGGATAATGATGGTGCTTTCCAATCGGTTGTCCAAGAGTTTTTTTGATGCCGAGGGGATAGAAAACAACATCACTCAAACACACGCCAACGTGTGGCAGAAAGATTTATTAGAACAATGAAGAACATGATACACGACAGGGTTAGGTTTAATAAGGCAAGATGGACAACGATGCTCACACCAGCGCTCAACAAATACAACAACGACAAACACTCATCAACGAAGATGACACCCAAGGAAGCGCGCAACGACGACAACAACATGAAGGTGAGAGTGAATTTAACGCTGAAAGAAAGCAACAAGCGAAAGTATCCCACCATAAGCGTAGGGGATATGGTAAAATACTTTCATAAGAAGGGGAACTACACCGACAGGAAGGAATACAATTCAAAGTGGTCAAAGGAAAGTTACAAAGTAAAGGAAATAAAGTATGACATGATAGGGAGCAGGACTTACAAACTGGAAGGACTACAAAAACCATACTTGCGACACGAGTTGTTGTTGGTTTAAAGACATGATTATCTCCTCAATCAAACTTTCCGGAATGACATACAATTCGCTTTGCTTGAACAATAGTTGATATTCTTTCCACATATCCTTCTTACTGCTTGGCATTCGTTGTGCCGTTTGTAAATGTTTGTTCCCTTCCATTTGTCCGCAGTCCCTTTTACATAACGGTTTAGGCGTCCATCTACCGTTCAGGTTGTTCCATAACCTAGTTCTCGTACGGTAGGGCATCCAATACTTACAGTAGTCTATGTCGTTGTAATCAAATACGTTCATAAAGGGTTGTTTCTTCAAAAGTCCCGTCTGAGGGTTTTCAATAAACCTGTATTTACCAGGCTACCGCCTGCAGCCGCCGACCCCCAAGGGATAAAACCTTAGCGCTAGCCTTGCTCCAGGTGAGGCGTGACTGTCGATGTTAGCCTTAACCTTAGCCTAGCCTTAATGTTAGACTTAGCCTTAGCCTTAGACCGCCCCCGGGTAGGAGTTCCCCATTTTTTCCATGGTTATAGAATTATCTAGCATGTCCGCTTGCATGTAGGTTCCCTGATTTGCTCAAAAATTGCTGAACTTATTTTTAATCCCGGCCAATGCCCTGGAATTTTCCCAGGAATGCGGTAGGCTTTGTGTAGATTTTGCGCTGGACGAGGTCCAGCCAGTGCCCGTGGTAACGTGAAAGGCCCTGGTAAGATTTTCGCATGCTTGTCAGGCGCCCGTGTCCGCGCCATGTGGCGTGTTGGTTCTAGGACGGAGCAGCGCAAACGGAAGCTTGGGGAGGTGGTGGCGAGGTTCTCGCGCCAGCCAGGGAAGAGACCGTAGCCATGTACACGCGGGCGGCACGCGCGCGTGGCGGAATGTCTGCAGTGCGGTAGGCCAGGGGGGGGGGGGGGGGACGGGAGGGTGGGGAAGCGGGGGGTTCCACGGTGGGAGGAAGGACGGTGCCCCGGATGTGGGAGGGGTAGGGTTTCCTGGAGTACCCCCCGGAGTCGGGTGAGAGGCAGGCGGTGTCTGTGTTCTGCGTTTTCAGGGGGAGAGGGGCGCTGCCCATGGTGTTCGCTAGGTTGCTTCAGCCAGCGAGGGCGTTGCCCATGTATGTCCCCTTATGCAGGCCACGGAAAACTGCTCGGTGTAGTGGTCGTGGGCGGACAACGCCGGCGCGCAGTGCGTTGGCAGGCTGGCGGAAGCCGACGGCTGCCGGAGCTGGACGAGGCGCGCAAGGGATGTGTAGTGGAGTATGGAGTGAAGCTAGGGGATGCGAGCGCCGGGGTGCGATGATCGGGTCTAGCGCGGGCGGAGCGTGAGTTGGGAGTTACCGGCAGCACTTTTGGCTGGAGAAGTGTGGTTGCGATGGCTGCTGATGGTCCAGGGGCAGCTCGCGGGAAGGGACTGGACCATGAGGACTCCGTGGATCCGGTCCTGGAGGGCAGGTGGCGAGAGCTTCGTGCTCCCCGGCGGGCAGACCTGGAGGAGTGTGGATGCGGCGGCGCAGGGCGCTGCCCATGGTATAGGGTACAATTCAAGGGCCACGATGGTGTTGCTCGTGACCACCACGGGCATGTTTTGTGACAAAGCTTTGTGGAGCATCGTGTCTCGCCAGAAGGGCTCGGCGCTGCAGCCGGGGCGGAATAGGAGCTCTTGCGGGGCAATCTATGTGTTCTCGGAGCTTGGTGGCAAGGTAGACAGGAAGAGGCAAGGGCAGCATGAGGGGCATTGGTCTGTCGCACAGGCGCGGCAACAGGGGATCGGGTACACCGGAGCTGGAAGAGTGGATTCGCGGGAGATCCGAAGCGGGTGGAGCGACAGGGCGCTGCCCATTAGTTTCATGGCCGGAGGGAAGGGGACTGTGCGGCAGACTTGCCTCAGGGCCGAAGTGGTGGCTGTGAAGGAGAACAAGGCGCCGAGGTTGCTGCAGGGGCCGGAGGAGGTGGCTCATAGAGCGAAAATGTTTCGCGGCACGGGGGCTGATATCTGGACTAGACACAGTCTGGTGCAGAAGGCGATCGCAACAGGCAGCACGGATTGGGAGGATGCGGCCGAGGAGATGATGCTGCACTGTGTTCAGATCTGCTACAATTCAGCCGCGAGAGTGGCCTCCAGGAAATATACATCAGCTCGGGCGATGGGATATATGAGCCGCCAGCAGCGGCAAGTGGGGCTGAGGACGCGCTGGAGCAGGAGGCTGGCAGTGGAGCCGGATCGTCGCCTGCAATGTGGAGGAGGTCGTCGACTTGGCGTGCTGCGGTTCCTGCTGATAGACGAGGTTTTCATGCTCTCAGCACAATTCTTGGCTGAGGTTGAGCAAGCCTTC